TCCAAGCCTTTCTAGAGGGTCATGTTATGAAGAACACAGCAACTCACCATGATCAAAACAGGAGTTAATTGTAGGACACCATTCAACTGTTCCAGGTACCAGAATCACATTTTCAGAAGCAACATTAGCAGTTGGCTTCACTGAGGAATGAGTATTATCTTTTAAAGGGATAACCCCTTGTTGTTGCACAGTCATCCACAGACTTTGTGGAGATTGGATTGAAGAGTTACAACATCCTGCACTGTCAGTGGATTAAAGAGCCACAGCAGTTGACAGGATAATGAATACATACATGAAGGAAGAAGAGTCTGTGGAAGAGTCTCATTCAACTTAAAGCATTAACTCTTCTTCTCTCGCCATATATGCTGACAGACCTGTTGAGTATTTCCTCCACTTTCTGTACCTGTGAGGACTCATCTGTTGTGAACTGAATCTATTGTCCAGTCCTGGCAAATAAGGTAACAGTGACTTACCAGTTTCTATGGTATCCAGCCATTGTGTGATGCCACCAAGGTCTATTGCGTTCCTATCCTCAAGGCATGGCTTCCTGTCTGTCATTCATCTTCTCTGCCCAGATGCCAAGGCTCTGCCCTTCCAGCAGAGGATTTTGCTCTAATATTGCCACTGATAATCTGAGAGTTGTGCACTGATCATCCAACAGTCTTTGGAAGTGTTGGCCACAACCTCTTGTCCCAATGCCACTAAGAATATTACAAATCCTTATATTGCTAATGCTCTTACTGACTACTTCTTTCAACCTGCGCTACATCAAGGGATTCTGCTTGTCAAAAATGGCCAATTCCTCACTCAGCCATATCAAAACTGAACAGAATATATAACCTTGAATTGCTCATACACTTCCCAGTGATCCATAAATTCTGGGACTAGTCACACTCCATTTAGCAGAAATCAAGGCACCACCAAGCACAAGGAAAAATAGCCATGGCTACGCCTTCATAAGTTAAATTCAGTTATTATAACACCAAATGGACAGAAAAATAGTAATTGAGTAGAAAGTTTCAAACCACTTACCCCTTTCACACACCAGAAAGTAGGGAACCCTATGGAAGTTGTCCTCTAGGGACAAGCCCTGTGCATAGACAGGATTTGCTTAGACAAGGAGAATGTGATGGAGATCTAAGGATGCTGAAAGATGCCCTCATAAGAATGGGATATGATGTTCAGTATCGCCAGTTCCAACATGCATAGCGAAAAACTGTAATGACTTACTCAGAAGACAGACACAGGATATGACTGATCGAGTACCCTTCGTTGTCCAGTACTTCCCCAGAGCCATGTTCTTTGCAGCCTTCAACATGTCATCAATGACGACGAACACCTTGCCAAATCATCTCTACACCTCCACTTCTCATCTTCAAACAACCACCAAATCTTAAACAGACCATCATTCTCAGCAAACTACTCAGCCTTCAGGACAACATCGACCACAAGAGCACACAACCCTGCCACGGCAACCTCTGTAAGACATGCTAAATCATTGACGTGGATATTAGCATCACACATGGGAACACCACCCACCACATACACGGCAGATATTCATATGACTCTGCCAATGTTGTCCACCACACTCTTGCAGGCAAGGATACCCCAAGGCATGGAATATTGGCAAGAATATGCAGATGCTAAGACAATGGACACTGCACAACAATCGCTAGAAAGGAATGTTCCCTCCTAGTCGGGGAACACTTCACCGGTCAAGGACATTCACCCTTCAATCTTCGGGTGAGCGCCCTTTAAGGCGGCCTTCAATGTACACAATAACGCAGAATCACCATGCTCAAACAGATAGCCAATTTCTGTACCCACAAAGATGGCCTCAACCATGATCTTAAGGCTTATGTTGTGCTACATGTGACCCCACTATACTGTTCTGTAAAATCTTCCTTCCTGTCCTGTTTTGACAATATCACCTTGATAACTTGTTATGATCTCTCTACCTTAATCAGTTTGTACAGTTTTGGACTACTTGTTACTTTGGTTAGACCCTTGGCATGTGGCTCTTATACCTAGCACGTTATTCCAGTCATTTGGTTTGTCTCCAGCACCACCTCCTTTTTAAGTTTTTGTAGTTATCGCTTTGCCTCAATTAATCGGATTATAGGTCATCTCTTCATTTGTTATTCAGCTGTTGACACTTTATTCACATCATCTGACACCCTTGATCACCTGCAAAGACCTACTATTCAGCCTATCAACATTCCATTCACACCATTTGTATAATCTGTTGATCTCTCTGATTATAAAGTCTGTGCCTGGGTGCTCTCTTCACTTCACCTGACAAAGGAGCAGCGCTATGAAAACATGTGATTTCAAATAAACCTGTTGGACTATAAATCGATGTTGTGTGATTTTTGACCTTGTCCACACCAGTCCAACATCGGCACCTCCACACCAGGAAGTAGGGCACAGCCAATTACATCTATCAATGATTCTCTTCCATTCTCATATTGAACTCTCTGCCTTCTTACCTTCCATCTCCCTATTTTACTAATTTTTTTCCCCTTTCCCAGCGTTCATTCCTTAATTTGCAGAGAATCCTGGACCAATGGTATGAAACCAATCATTATTCTCAGTTTCTGCCTCTCCTGCAATCTTTTCTGCTGCCCTTTGCCCCTCCACAGGCTTCTCTTTCATTTTCTTTCATGTTCTCTTTCATTTGCTCCTTTACCCTCACCCTCCTTCTTTTCCATAGGGATGACCTATGAACCTATGAGATAATTACAAAAAATCTAGAGTCTCAACACCATCTTAGTTTTGATATTTTTGTAATTATCTCTTTGCCTTAATTATTAGGTTCATAAGTCATCGCTTCACTTGTTATTCACCTGTTGACACTTTACCCACACCATTTGACACTTTTGATTATCTGCAAAGTCTTGGTATTCAGCCTGTCAACACTCTATTCACACTATTTGTACTTTTCTGTTGACACTCTTAATGACCTGGAATTATCTTGCCATTATTTATCTGCCTATAAATTCTGTGCCTCTGTGCTCCCTCCACTCCACCTGAAAAAGGAGCAGTGCTCCAAAAGCTTATGATTTCAAATAAATCTGTTGGACCAAAACCTGGTGTCATGTGACTTCTGACATTATCTGAGACTAGTTATCCCATTGCCTTGTCATTGAACTGAATATTACACTTGCCCAATATTTCCTGCAATGACTCAACTGGAAGGATTGACTGTGATAGATGGAGATGGAAGAGCAGTTAGTAATGATGCATGAGCAGAACAGTGGTGAGGTGTCCCAGTAATCAAGCAGAAAGAGCAAAGGGCAGGAAGGGTTAGTAGTTTGGGATGACAAGGAGGGAGAGAATAATTGAGTAGACATGGTACATGCAACATCAAGACTTGTAGTCATTGAGCGGTACAGTGAGTGATGAGCCTATGAGGGTGAGATGGCAGAGCAAAGATAATACTGAACTTCTTACATTGCTGGACATCCATTTTCATCCAGGACAAAGCACTGACCTGTGCTGTAATTTGTACCTAAGGCTGGCTTGGTCTGGTGTCGTGGCCTCCTGTGCAATCAGCTGAGAAAAGGATTGTTTTGGGGATCATTCTTGACTTGCAGTGTCTGAAGTGGTGTGCAGCTGGGCTTTAAATATGTCACCAACAGCGCAATCATAGAAGTTCCTGACATGGCTAGTGCTTTCACCTCTCCATTGCACAAATCCTGAGAAAGGTTCCCAGGAACCCAGGAGTGTATTTAATGAGGTGAATAGCAGATGATTGCATGAGAAAAGCTGCTGAAAGCCAGGGTGGACTGAGCACCACGAATCACACTTTACCCAAAAATGGGAAAATATTGCCCTTGGTCTCTATTTGCAAAGCCAGATGAGATCAACTAATTTCATGTTAATCATGTTAAGCTACTTAATCTCCCTTTTTGCACATATTTAGAAGGAATTAATGTAATTTGTAGAAGGCAACAGATATAGGATTTGGATTGGTTTGAACCACTCAACACAAATAACACAATTAGTAACATAAAGACAGATAGAAATTTTATGAGCACAAAAATATCATGTGTGACTATGATTTGTATTACACGGACAGTGCCTGCATTCACATGCAATGTGCTATGATTACAGATGACTTCAAGTGCCTGATTAATGTAATTGCTCCTTGTAGGGCCTCATATCAGTCACAAGTAGAACCCTTGTGCTCAGACAGAAAAAGAAAACTTACTCTGTTCACTTTGGATGTGGTCACAAACATTTTTCATTTCCAGTGTGCATTTATGAGTTACATGAACATGGAAGGTAATGCAGGGTATGTTTGACATAGTTAGTCACAGGCTTAGCCTGTGTAATCAAGGGGATCCTCCATGCTCCTTTCTTTCTGGCAGTCCCTACTGAGCCCATCAGTACTGAGCTTCCAAACATTACTACATACCTCTTTGAATTATGACTTCATCTCTCAACATTACTCTGAGCTCTAGTCCTTTGGCTCAGTCATGCCGACCATTGCACTGCACCTGTCAAGGCCAGGGTAATTGTGACCATCAATGGCTCAGTTATTAATAAAACAGGAAATTTTGCATTTCAGTCGTTTCTCTAATGTTGACTGGACACACAAAGAACTAAAATCATCAGAAAATATTGAGATAAATAACTAGTTTGGCAGTGTTATTTGCTGGTTAAAGTCCTTATCCATGTTTTCATTATTTCTGGATAATATCTTCAATATTTCCTTTGTTACTACTGTGTCCCCGTCCTCCAAAAGATAATATTGAAAATCTTCAACCTCATCCAAAAGAAAAACAAGTCAAGGCATCATGGCACCATATGTTGGCAACTACTCTAGCTTTACATCCCCTCTCACATCCTGTAGTTCAGATTCTGGACACCTGTCTCCTTGTCCACTACTCCTTTTGAACGGGTCTTCAACCATCTCACCTTACTTTTTGGAACTCCTTTACCACAATCTTCACTAACTTACAAATATAAATAATTAACATTGCTCTAGAACTTGCCTTGTTTCATATGTCTCATCAATACAGAACAACACAACACAAAAAGCATTTGAAGAATGGCTGTCATTTGGACTGGAAGCGATCTCTTTGCTGCTCTCTGCTTCTTTGGTTGTTTGGTCTTCAACATCACCATCTGGCAATTTGGCATTTTCAACACTGTCTGACACTTCTCCCTGCAGCAAGATGAGGCAAGGGGTAAAAAAATTACATTTAGTTACATTTGCACTTGCACACTCAGTCACATACTAATTATTTCAGCATACATAAACATTATTCTTTGTCAGTATTGACTAAAACTATAAGGCTTGCAACAACACCTACTGAAATGTGAAGATATGCTGAAACTACAGGAGTCTTACAAATTTCTACTAAAATACATGTACATTGAAGGTATGTTCACAATGAATGAGACATCTACAATAGTGTCATTTTAACTAATTTGGAAAACAAAACTGTATTCTAGAACTGAAATTGCTCCAGAAAATTGGCAACAATTATTTCTCAATTCAGAGTTATTTTCTGAGTGCAGATTCATGATTCTTGAATTAACCATAAATTTTCCAGGCCCATCTAGAGCAATTAGTAGTGCAGGTGGGGAATTTAATTGAGTGGGAGATAAAAATTCCATTTCCCAACAGTGTTTTAAATTTGTACTATTAAGTTTTCAGAACCCTTCAGGCAGATCAGCCTACCAGATCTTCATGGTCAAGAGTCTCTTTTGCATTCATTAGAATATCATGAATATCGTTAACACTCCAGCCCACTGGAATTCCATTTATGGGTACAATCTTGTTAGCCAAAAACGGGAACAGGAGTGTTTGCAAACCTGTCCTTATATATGAGGAGTGTATCTAGTGGGGTTGTCTTTTTGCTCCAAGTTCCAGTGAGTACAACCTTCTGTTACTTGGCCCCTTTGTGACCAAGCTTTATCGTTGTACAAATGCTTACAGTGTAAGGGGTGCTGCCCCTCTGCTAAGGTTAAGGAGAAAGAACAATGCCAACAGAAGCAGGGACACAAGGCTTAGGGGCTACAGCTGTGGAAAGATAAACAAACATGAAGAAGAGAACCAGAGTCCTCAGCAACATCATGCAGACTACTGAGAGACAGTGTACAGAAAAATGTTGCAGCTATGTGAGGATGAGCAAAAGGCAATGCTAGAGGCATATTCGCAAAATTATGGAAGCTGTCACTTGTATCTGCTATTTCTGCAGGCAAATCTGTAGTCACATTGCTTGGGAGGTCCTGTGGCTTTGAAGATAACAGCCGCATTGAATTTCTTAGTGATTGGTTTCTTTCAAAAATCAGCTGGGATTATTTGTGGCTTCGACCAACTGGCAGCCTATAGATGCATTTGTGAGTTCAACAAATGCCCTTTACAGGAAAGCAAATCTGTTTGTCCAGTTCATCATGCACCCAGACAGCTAAGGCATCTGAGCCACTGAATTTGCAAACATTGCTTGGTTCCCTCATTTACAAGGGCCAATCTGCTGTACAATTGTGAAGATCAGAGCTCTGTGGCATAATGCAGCCAAATTTCTGAACTGGAAGGAATTTCACTCCATCAAAGTTCAGCTTGTTGTGACCACAGGCAAGAATTCCTGCAGATGTATGCCTACTATCCAGGGAACTGCAGCCTGCGTATTCTCTGAGACATCACTGAATAGACAATTGGTATACTGAAGTTATAGTAGTCCACTGCCTGGACTGCTCAGGAAAAGCATTCCAGTTTTTGCTACACAGGGTCTGAGAAGAAAGATTGTTTGCTGTGCCCTGCACAACCTAGCTCAATGATAGTGTAAGAACTTAGAAGATGGGGAGACAGAGCAGCCAATTGTCTCCTAAGATGAAGGAGAAAAGGAGTCCAATGGAGACGCTGAGGGAACGAGGGAGGAAGCCAGGGCAGTAGTGAGATGAGGCAGAAGGTCCTGAATAACCTGATTGTGGCTACACTTGACAGCAAATGGCTTCGCAGTAATGTATCCAGACTTTTATAAAGATTCATAATATATTGTTATTTGAGAACTTGCGTTCTGAAATGGAGGATAATAATAGTTAGGATTTTCAGTCCTGCAAAGATCTGTCATTCTTAGAACCATCACAAAATAATTTTGAACATTGAATTCAAAACAGCATTCATTTAAAATCATGTGATTTCAGCTAAATGACCAGTAAAACATGGAATATAATTGCTAATGTGTTTTCTAACTTGAGTTTTACAACCACTAGAGAGACAGAGTGAGAGAGAGAGAGGTGGGGGGGGAGAGAGAGAGACAGAGAGAGAGAGAGAGAGAGAGAGAGAAGGGGCCAGAAAACAAGTTTATCCAGAGAAAGGGGGCCAGTAAAGGAAAGGAGCTGCTTTTAGCAGTCTGCAAGCAGTTAGGATGGGTGTGTGTGTCTATGTGTAAGTGGTTTTTTTATTCATTCATGGAATGAGGGTGTCACTGGCATTCATTGCCCATCCCTAATTGCCCAGAGGGTAGTTAAGAGTCAACCACATTGCTGTGGGTCTGGAGTACGTAGGCCAGATCAGGTAAGGATGGCAGTTTCCTTCCCTAAAGGACATTAGCGAAACAGATGGGCTTTTCCCAACAATTGACAATGGATTCACAGTCATCATTAGACTCTTAATTCGAGATATTCACTGAATTCAGATTCCACCATCTGCCGTGGTGGTATTTGAACCCCGGTCCCCAGAACGTTATCTGGGCCTCTGAATTAACAGTACAGCAATAATACCATGAGGCCATTGCCTCCCCAGTATTTAAAAGATATTTAAAAGTCACTGTAAAAAAGGCTACATTTGCTGACACTGTGGAACATGCATGATACTCCCCTCAAATACATGTATGCACATTATCACTTTGACTGTTAACAGAGAGGGGATTGAGAATGGACTGGGGAGGATGGGGAGATAGAGCTGGGGGGAGAGGTCAGGCTAGAATTGTTCGGGGTAAAGATCAGGTTGGGGCAGGTGGTGCGGAGACAGATTGGGCTGAATGTGGAGGTGGAGAAATTGGGTCAGGGTAGTGAGGGCAGAGGTCAGGCTAGGGGAGAGATACTGGGCCGAGGTTTGCAGTGGGGTTGGGAAAATGGGCCATCTGTTACCACCACCGCCCCCACCCCACCCCCCGCTGCCCACCCTGTCTACCCGTCTTTACGCATGATACAATGACATACAGAGTCTGGAACAGTGTGCATGCACGTTTCCAAGTGAACACATAAGTGTGATTGCTCCGCAGTTCCACTGTCAGCAAACACTGCAAGGAAATGCTCCAAAAGCAGAGGGCTGGCAAGTATCAGAAAGGAAGATATGCTCCAAGGTTGTTGAAAATGTGAGTTTAAAGAACCCATGTTAAGTAATAGTGAGCTGAACTTTGTTTCTTTAAAGGGTCTTGGCTGGGATATTAACTGAAGAAACTACGGTCTACAGATTGCACAACACTTTGCTGAAAGCAAACAATTACAGCCAACAGCTGAGCAAGAAACTTTAGCGTGTAGATAAGAGTTAGTCTTCTCTGAGGTTTGAGTACTTGTATGGCTGGGCTAAATGATGATTGGAATGGGGTCATTTGAATAGTCATTATGTAGAGTAATAAACATCTTTTGCGTTTTTGTAAAAAGGATATTGACAGCCTCTTGTGAAATGTTTAGTGATTGACCTCCATCGTCAACTAAAAGAAAACTTGTGGAATATCAAGGTTTCACTTTGATTCTGACTTGTTCAGCATGATTGCAGCTGGCAACAAAACAGGATACTCTGCACTATAAGCCAATTATGGCACAAGGCATTCCTCAAGGGAATGCATAGTTTATATCTTTAAAATATTTAGCTACTTTGTTCGGTGTAAATTTGAAGTTAATTTGATCCTTTTGGACGAATAACATCCTGCTCCTGACTAATGGTTAGAATCAAAGTGTTAATACTGTTTCTCTCTCCACAGATGCTGCCAGATGTGATGAGTTCCTCCAGAACTTTCTGTTTTCATTTCAGATGTCCTGTATTTGCAGTATTTTACTTTTATATCAATACGAAGTTATGAGTGACTACATCGGGGCTGCGCTTGTATCACCCAGATCTGCATTTGAAATGGTCACTGATCTATCACTGAGATGTAGAGGGTCTTAACTATGCTGATTGACACTCAAAACCCAACCATCTAGCTTAAGTTCTTGCTTTCCATAGTTATATTTCCCTCAAAGGACAGCAGTGAATCACAGCCTCAGCACTCTATGCACCACTGCACGTGACGATCATGAATCATGTGATCATTGCCCCTTAATCATCAAGGTAGCCTACAAGGAAAACATAAAGTGAGTTTGAAACATACCACAGGACTCTCATACAAAGTGCTGTATTTATGGCAAATGTTATACAGAAAGATTGGAACCCATGCACTCAAAGTAACTTCAATGTTCTTTAATCTTTCTTTTCCTACTGCTACATCTTGGTACCACTTCAATAACTGGAGATGAGCTTAAGGAAATCCACTGACTGCTTTGCTTCCATGCCCTAGATTACTTTGGTGGGCATACTCCTGAGATCTGGAACCTATTTGGATTGGTGGTGGTGGTGGTGGTGGGTGGGTGGGGTGGGGTGGAGGTGGGGTGGTGGTGGTGTGGTTTCATTTACAGAAGCACATACAACCTCCTTGGCCCGACCTGATGGTCACTGACTCATGGCACTGCTTTTTTGTGTGGTATCTCACATCTCCGGGGGTGGATAGGGGAAATACTGACACTGTCTGATTTGATTGTTGAATAAATATTTTACCTTCATCACATCTAAAGAATTAAATGAATCTTGTATATTAGGAGATCTACCTGTAGTGTGATCAGGAGGCCACAATCCTTGTGTAGGATGACAGTCAACATAATTAAAGGCTCATTCAACCAACATTGTTACTTCTATAACAACTTGCATTCACAAATACATTTTGCATATTTCAACCAGTTGTTCTGTGCCTTTATGTTGTGATATGTAGATAGCAACTCTGATCCCCAAATTTCATTCTTAATCTCTAATGCTGATTTTACATTTCTCTTCTCTACACCTAGCACATAATGTTATCACAGATTTGAAATTAGCTGAAGGAATTTGGATAGAACATTTTAGAAGTGGACATACAGCAACACCAAAACACTGAATGAATTCTCTGATCATCCAAAAGTTTGGAGAACAAAAGTTTTCATGATTATAACACCAGCGTACTAGTAGAATTTGACAGCTGCTTTCTATAAAAACAATTTGGTCACTACAAAAGATTTGTTTTTGGGCCAACCATGTTCTGTGCTACATCCTGTTAGATCTGAGGCATTTTTCTCCAGCAAAACTGGAGTCAAGGGAAACTCAAAAGTGTTGGAGTCATACCTGGCACAAAGGAAGATAGCTGTAATTGTTGGAGCTCACTCATGTTGATTCCAGGACATGTCAGGAGTTAAAATAAATAGTGAAAAATGATTTACTATTTCAACATTTCATGACTCAATATTTATAAGTAATGAAGGTCGTGTTATATGAGTCCCAATCAGATATTTAATATGCAGTTCGGACAGAACCAGAGAGAGTGAAAGTCTGTCACAGTTTTTAACTAATTATCATGTTATGTTTCAGTCTTCTTGGACCTACGGATCAACTTTTCAGATGCTGAAGCAACGTGATCTGCTACTCGCACTTAAAATTTTTGAAGGACTTTCCTAGTTCTTCCTCTATAACAGAAGATTAATGGAAACCGCAGAGAAACACTGCAAATATTTCTGCAAAGTTTATGTAAATTCTTGGTTAATATTGTGTCAAATAAATGGGAATATCTGGAAATTCTATCTCTTTTATTTCTACTGGCAAAGAGTATGAGTGAAGAATATTACTCGAGCAGCATGAAATAGGCATGGAAGCTTTTCACTGGAACTCAGAAAATGTTTGAGCTAATGTACGCATCAGGTAAAGACCATATGTAAAATTTGAGGTGCTATTATAGAACTTTTAGGAGATGCAAAACGCAATGAAGCAGTCTAAAATGTTGGCTCACCTGAGGAGAACAAATTTCAGCATGAAATTTGCACAGAAAACCACATGGATAAACTGCGCAAACTATTCAGAGGATAGATAGGAAAGAAAATTTCAGCCAAAATGGTTTTAAGAAACTAGGGACTTAACTGAACACAAAACCAGCCATAGTAGTTGGTATCCCATGAAAAACATTACACAAATTTCTTTTGCAAAGCTTTGTTCAAAGTTGAAAGACTTTTGATTGCACTTCTTTTTGGTGACAAGTGACATACCTTTTCGTCTGTATTATCTTCAGAAACTCCAGTTGAAGCGCTTTTGTTTTCTGTTTCTAGAAAATCAATAATTCCTCAATTAACTTCTAGGAGTCAGATTAAGCGCCATATGTGTTTGATTACAACTATACAGCCTACGTTAAATGAAATCATTGTTTCAGCTTTTACCTCCTTTGGCCTTAACTCCACATAAACTATAGATGTGGCAGGTAAGCAAGGCTGCTTGCAAGTTCTCTGCAATATTGACTATGGGGTTGACTAGCCTGCAGACATTTGCTCTACTCCTTTTCTTCTCCTTTAAGAAACTTGTTAAAAAAATATCTTTTTGATCAACCCTTTGGTTATGTTTCTTCTAGTTTAGATCTTGGGATCACTGTTAACTTTTGTCAGGTTACATTCCTGTGAAACATCTTGGGACATTACACACCAATTGCTGTAAAACTGCAAGCTATTGTTTTAGAACACAGGAAGACTGAGATTTAAAATGTCTGCATATGGGACTCACAAGGATTAAAACATTGCTTTATCTAAAGTTGTAAGCATTAGTGCTTTGCCGAGTATAGGACTTTGGTTTGACCACATTTGGAATACTGCGTACAGTTCTGGTCGCCACATTACCAAAAGGATGTGGATGCTTTGGAGAGGGTGCAGAGGAGGTTCACCAGGATGTTGCCTGATATGGAGGGCACTAGCTATGAAGAGAGGTTGAGTAGATTAGGATTATTTACATTAGAAAGACGGAGGTTGAAGGGGGACCTGATTGAGGTCTACAAAATCATGAGAGCTATAGACAGAGTGGATAGCAAGAAGCTTTTTCCCAGAGTGGGGGATTCAATTACTAGGGGTCACGATTTCAAGGTGAGAGGGGAAAAGTTTAAGGGAGATATGCGTGGAAAGTTCTTTACGCAGAGGGTGGCGGGTGCCTGGAACGCGTTGTCAGTGGAGGTGGTAGAGGCAGGCACAATAGTGTCATTTAAGGTGTATCTAGACAGATACATGAATGGGCAGGGAGCAGAGGGATACGGATCCTTGGAAAATAGGTTTAGATAGAGGATCTGGATCGGCGCAAGCTTGGAGGGCCGAAGGGCCTGTTCCTGTGCTGTAATTTTCTTTGTTCTTTGTTCTTAGTCTGAACTTGGAAGTTTTCTGTGAGCTGAAATGGTTTTGAACAGTCTATTTCCTCAGGTTAACCTGACAAGGACAGCGCAGTTACTGTTTAGCAAACAGTCCTCCAGCATGAGAAGTTTGATGCACATTAGCCAACATTTCCTGTTAAGAACTTACACCAAGACCCAAGGATGAAATCCATCAGAAATCCATGCAGCTCCAACAGTTTGCTCAATGCCCTTTCCCTATGATTATTGGAGTCAACATTAAATTCAACAATTCCAAACCCTAAGTGAACTTTCACCTCCCCATGAGAGAGGTAGTGACAAGGAGAAACAAATTACACATGTTTGCTCTGGAGAGAAACTAGCTCCCTTGTTGTTTCTTCTGCAACTAAGTGCTGGGTAAGATGGTCCAGGGGCAACTTTCCCAACTTGCCAGCAATTAAAGCACTTTACTGGTCAGTTAGTAGCCACCTAGGACCTCATCTCACCACCTTTCTGATCACCTGTTTCCACAGTGGGAGAGAAAGGTAGTTAGTTCCCACCTGGGAAATTATGGTGAACAGCCTGCTGCATTTATTTGGTGATAACTGAAGGCAGAGATGGCGGACAAAGGAGTGACCTTCTTTAGCCCCCATCTTGCCCTCGCTTCTGACACCCTCTGACTTCACCCCTCCGCCCCACATGACTCTGACTGCCATGACAAGAAGGGAATTAAGATTTACCTTTTCACTGTTAGATCCCGAGAGTCGCAACAGGCAGTCTATAGGAACCAGAAGCTTCTGGTGACCTGGCGAGATGAAGTCCCACTTTCACATTGAGAACAACCTCCATTGTGTTGTGAGGCACTATCACCGTGCTAAATGGGACAGACTTCACACAGATCTAGCAACTCAAGTCTGGGCATCCATGAGGCATTGTGGGCCATCAACAGCAGCAGAATTGTACTCCAGCATAATCTGTAACCTCATGGCCCAGCATATCCCCCACTCAACCATTACCATCAAGCCAGGGGATCAACCCTGTTTCAATGAAGAGTGCAGGAGGGCAAACCAGGAGCAGCACCAGGCATACCTGAAGATGAGGTATCAACCTGGTGAAGCCACCAAACAGGACTACTTGCACGCCAAACAGTGAAAGCAGCAAGTGACAGACAGAGGTAAGCGATCCCACAACCAACGGATCAGATCTAAGCTCTGCAGTCCTGCCACATCCAGTCGTGAATAGTGGTGGACAATTAAACAACTCACTGGAGGAGGAGGCTCCACAAATATCCCCATCCTCAATGACGGAAGGGCCCAGCACATCAGTGCAAAAGATAAGGCTGAAGCATTTGCAGCAATCTTCAGCCAGAAGTGCTGAGTGGATGATCCATCTCGGACTCCTCCAGTGATACCCAGCATTACAGATACCAGTCTTTAGCCAATTCGATTCACTCCACGTGATATCAAGAAACGGTTGGAGACACTGGATGCTGCAAAGGCTACAGGCCCTGACAACATTCCTGCAATAGTACTGAAGACTTGTGCTCCAGAACTTGCCGCTTCCCTAGCCAAGCTGTTCCAGTACAGTTACAACACTGGTATCTACCCGACAATGTGGGAAATTGCCCAAGTATGTCCTGTACACAAAAAGCAGGACAAATCCAACCCAGCCAATTACCGCCCCCTCAGTCGACTCTCGATCATCAGTAAAGTGATGGAAGGTGTCACCAACAGTACTATCAAGTGGCACCTGCTCAGAAATAACCTGCTCAATGACGCTCAGTTTGGTTCTGCCAGGGCCACTCGGCTCCTGACCTCATTACAGCCTTGGTTCAAACATGGATAAAAGAGATGAATTCCAGAGGTGAGGTGAGAGTGATAGCCCTTGATGTCAAGGCTGCATTCGACCGAGTGTGGCATCAAGGAGCCCCAGCAAAACTGGGATCAATGGGTATCAGGCGGTAAATGCTCCGGTGGTTGAAGTCTTACCTGACATATAGGAAGATGGTCGTGGTTGTGGGAGGTCAATCATCTCAGCTCCAGGACATCTCTGCAGGAGTTTCTCAGGGTAGTGTCCTAGTCCCAACCATCTTCAGCTGCTTCATCAATGACCTTCCCTCCATTATAAGGTCAGAAGTGGTGATGTTCGCCAATTATTGCACAATGTTCAGCACCATTCATGACTCCTCGGATACTGAAGCAGTCCACATTCACATGCAACAAGATCTGGACAATATCCAGACTTGGGCTGACAAGTGGCAAGTGACATTCACACCACACAAATGCCAGGCTATGACCATCACCAATAAGTGACAATCTAATCACCATGCCTTGACATTCAATGGTGTTACTATCACTGAATCCCCCACTCTCAACATCCTGGGGGTTATCATTGACCAGAAACTCAACTGGACTCACCACATTAACAGAGTGGCTACAAGAGCAGGCCAGAAGCTAGGAATACTGCGGCGAGTAACTCACCTCCTGACTCCTCAAAGCCTGTCCGCCGTCTACAAGGCACAAATCAGGAGTGTAATGGAATACTCCCCACTTGCCTGGATGACTGCAGCCTCAACAACACTCAAGAAGCTTGACAACATCCAGGACAAAGCAGCCCGCTTGATTGGCACTACATCCACAAGCATTCACTCCCTCCATCACCGACGCTCAGTAGCAGCAGTGTGTACTATCTACAAATGCACTGCAGAAATTCATCAAAGATCCTCAGACAGCACCTTCCAAATCCACAACCACTTCCATTTAGTAGGACAAGGGCATCAGACATATGGGAACACCATCACCTCCAAGTTCCCCTCCAAGTCACTCACCATCCTGACTTGGAAATATATCACCGTTCCTTCATTGTCGCTGGATCAAAATCCTGGAATTCCCCCCCTAATAGCATTGTGGGTCAACCCACAGCAGGAGGACTGCAGCGGTTCAAAAGCAGCGCACCACCACCTTCTCAAGGGCAACTAGGGACAGGCAAGAAATGCTGGCCAGCCAGAGATGCCCACATCCCACAAATGAATAAAAAAAAATACCAGTGTTGAGGCACCTGAAAGGGCAAGATATTTTCCTATGTCTTGGCTATCCTCTCTTAATGATGGTAATGACTCTGCATTTCACATACATTTGAATATACCTTTTAGTTTTTATCCTATTACCAACTCATTTTTTGCATTGCATTATCATTCTCTTGTATTCACTTCCGCTTTTTCTATTCTATCCTGCTTTTTTATTTTTTCTGCATCCCTTTTCCTGCCTTGCTTTAAAACACTAGCATCGCAAATTACTTGAATTCTGATAAAGGATAGTCTGCTAGTACACCCAATGACTGTGATAAATTCAGAATCCACCAGAGGAGGACTAAAAAGATAATAGAGACAGAGAAAATAAACCACAAAGGTAAACTAGCAAGGAATATAAAAACTGACAATAAGAGGCTCTATAAATGTGTAAAAAGGAAGAGAGAGATTAAAGTGAAAATAGCCACATGGAAAATGAATCTGGAGAGATGTTTTGGGGAACAAGGAAATGGCAGAGGAGTTAAGATGATATTTTGCATCAGGCTTTAAAGATAGTTCAGACATTTCATTAATACTAAAGAATACAGGGAGGAATTAAGTATCATCACCATCACTAAAGAAGTAATATTCAACAACCTAATGGGGCTAAAGACAGTATTGTTCACTGGTACTGAGCCAAAAAAAAAAATTCTGTTGCTGGAATCCAAGGTAGACAAACAGGAGGCTGGAAGAACACAGCAAGCCAGGCAGCATCTAGAGGAAAGGAGAAGTCAATGTTTTGGGTATTACTCTTCTTCAAGACTGGATGTGGGGCTAGGGGGAGCTGCAGATAAAGGGGGAGGGAGGGTCATGGAATGGTGGTGATAGGTGGACACTGGTAGTAGGTACTGACCTGGTTGTTCGATGGGAGGGATGAATCCAGTTGGTGGCTGGAAAGGAGCATCAAGAGGTGGAATGGAAAGGAGGAGGTGGAGCTGGAAAGGGAGCCAGGGGATGGGTGTGAAGGTTATTTGAAATTAGAGAATTAAGTCCTCTGGGCTGTAGGGTTCTCAGGAAGAAGATAAGGTGTTGGTCCTCAAATTTGCAATATGATCCACTGCGACACTGGAGGAAATGAGAATGAAAATGTCGGAGGGGGAGTTGGCGGGGGAGTTGAAAAGGAGCAGTGACTGGGAGGCTAGGCTGTCCGTTTTGGGCCAGTCGAAGATGCTCAGTGAAACGATCACCTCATCTACGTTTGGTCTCACCGATGTGGAGAAGACCACATTGGGAGCACCAGATGCAGTAGACTAAATGGAGAAGATACAGGTGAAGCTCTGCCTCACTTGGAAGTACTGCTTAGGGCCCTGAATGGAGGTGACGAATGCGGTGTGTGGGCAGGTTGCATCTTTTATGGTTACAGGGGAAGGTGCCGGGGGGAGGAGCGGGGCTGGAGGGGGTCATGGTGTGGTTGGTGGTGAGTGTGGCACGAACTATAGAGTGGCGAATGGAATGGTCCTTGCGGAAGGCAGAGAGGGGTGTGGAGTTCTGGGTGGTGAGGTCTAATTGGAGTTGACAGAAGTGTTTGAGAATGATACGTTGGATGCAGAGGCTGGTGGGGTGGCAAGTGAGGACAAGGTGAACCCTATCTTTATTATGTTTAGGGGCGGGAGTTTACAGCTATGGAGTGGGAAATGGAGGAGCCGCGGTGGAGGGCTGTCTGGATGACAGAGGGGGAAAAGAGCGTTGTTTGAAATAGGAGGGCATCCAGGATGCTAGGGAGTGGAACATCTCTTAGTCACAGCTGATGTGACAGAGAATTGGGAAAACGGGATGGAGTTTTTGCAGGATACACAGTGGGAGGATGTGTAGTCCAGGTAGCTATGGAGTCTGTGGATTTATAGTCAATGTTGGTCTGTAAACTGTTGCTGGAAATGGAAATGGAGAGGTCAAGAAAGGGGAGGGAGATGTCTGAGATAGACCAAGTGAATTTGAGGGCAGGGTAGAAGTTGTTAGTGGAGTCGATGAACTCCTCCAGTTCAGCCTAGGTGCAGGATGCAGTACTGATGCAGTCATTGTTGTAATGGTGGAAGAGTTAGAGAATATTACCCGTGTACGTACTGAAGAGGGACTGTTCGACATTACCAATCATGAGGCAGGTGTAGCTGGGGCCCACGTGAGTGCCCATGGCCACCTGGATTTGGAGAAAGTGGAAAGAACTGAAGGAAATGTTATTGAGGGTGGGGACTAATTCAGCGAGGCAGAGAAGGGTATTGGTGGGGAGGGACTGGATGGGACTGTGGAGAGGAAAAAACTGAGGGCCTGGAGAAATTGAGGCGGTTGATGTCACATTGACAGTTAGCAATAAAGAGGTCCAGGACGGGTAAGAGGCCATGAGGGGTGTCCAAGAGGAGGAGGAAAGTTGGAGGCAGTAAAATGGGTCTCCGAAGGGTGGTTGGGAGTCTTTACTGAAGAAGAAGGCATGGAGGCGGAAGGTGACGCAAGAATAGTTCCACATTGTGGCAGCACAGAACTCGTCAAGGTGGGGGTGGAGAGGTACAAACATGAGCCCTTTACTGAGGACAGAACATTCAGTCTCAGAGAGTTTGAGGTTGGGGGGATGGTGAATATGTGGCAAGGTTCAGGGGTGGGATTTTTAGGGGGTCTCGAGGAGGCTGAAGGAGGGGAGGGGGGAAGGGCAATAGCATATGATAGGTGAGGGTTGGACGTGGTGTGGTGGGGGGGGGGGGGGTAGTTGTGGGAGGGAAAGGATTTGAGACCAAACGTCGACTAGGTGACTGTTTCACTGAGCATCTTCACTTGGCCCGAAATGGCCAGCCTAAACTCGCAGTCACTGCCCATTTCAACTCGTCCCCCACTCCCCCTCTGACATGTCCATCCTCAGCCTCCTCCAGTGTCACAGTGAATCAGATCGCAAATTTGAGGAACAACACCATATCTTCCACCTTGGCACCCTATAGTCTGGAGGACTTAACATTGAGTTCTCTAATTTCAAATAACCTTCCCACCCATCCCCCGGCTCCCTTTCCAGACTCCTCCCTTCCATTCCACCTACCGACTCTCCCTTCCAGCTACTAACTGGATTCATCCATTCCATCCACCAACTAGGTCTTACCTACTACCAGTGTCCACCTATCACCACCATTCTGCTACCCTCCTCCCCTCCAACATCACCCCCCCGCCCACTTTATCTGCAGTTTCCTGTACCCCCACATCCAGTCCTGAAGAAGGGTAATTCCTGAAACGTTGACTTCTCCTTTCCTTCAGATGCTGCCTGGCTTGCTGTGTTCTTCCAGCCTCCTGTTTGTCTTCCCTAGTCCTGGTGGCTTGCATCCTAGGATCTTAAAAGAGGTAGGTGCAAAGTAGAGAAGTCTTTCCCCAACAGTACAAGGTGTTGGTGACATTGCATCTGGAGTACTGTGAGCAGTTTTGGTCCTCTTATTTAAGGAAGTATATCATTTCAATGGAGGTAATTTAGAGAAGGATCACTGGGATGATCCCTGGTATGGAGGGATTGTTTTATAAGCAAAGGCCAAACTCTACTCACTGGAATTTAGAAGAATGAAAAGTGATCTCTTTGAAACATACAGGATTCTTAAGGGACTTGACAGGGTAAATGCTGAGAGGATATTCCCCCAGTCGGAGCATCTAGGACCAGATTCTCAGGATAAAGGGTTGCCAATTTAAGACTGAGATGAGGAGGAATTTCCTCTCTCAGACGTTTGTGAATCTTTGGAACTCTTTGCTACTGAGAGCTGTGGGGGCAGAGTCATTGTGTACATTTCAAGCTGAGAGAGATAGATTCTTGATCAGCAGGGGAATCAAGAGTTTAGGGGATAGGGCAGGAAAGTGAACATGAGGAAAGTCAGATCAGCCATGATTCTATTGAATGGCGGAGCAGGCTAAAGGGACCGAATCTGACCCTGAAGGAACTGCAATATATTTCCAAGTCGGGATGGTGAGTGGCTATTTGCCAATTTATGCATATTTGGAAAGATTAATGAGATAGAAATGCAACAATATTCCACTCATATACAAGTATGAAATGGGTACTTGTACCTGAAGTTGTTACTGTTAGTTTTAAAGATGCTTCCTCTTCAGGAGTTTTACGAAGACCATGAAATGGACGTAAATCAAAGCATTCATTCAGTAGCTTGACATTCACTTCACTGCACACGCTAATGAACCCCACTGCACTGTTATTTACCTGCATAACATATGAAATTAACACAGTATTATCACGGGTTCTTTTGAGATTCTGGACAAACTTTGGCCAGAAATTTGTTGTTAGTATTGGAACACAAATGTCAGGTCCAAAGGGGCACCTGAGCATGCATTTGCTGACAGCAAGGTTACTACTGCAATCTTTTGTGAGATAGCCACAATTTGGACCTTTGGCATGCTAATCGGTAAGATAGGTGTGACTAATGCAGGTGGATAACTGGGAGAACAATTGCACATAATTATGTAGTGGGGATATGGACAGGGAGGTAAATCTAGGTGGAAGGAAAATACGTTTGCTGGAATGGTTTTGGCAATAGTCACAGTATTTTGTGAATGCAACTCCTTCTTTGTGGCATGGATCCTCTGATGTTGATAGATCCTAGCTTTAAAAATTGAGGCCACCTCCATTGAGGTTTGGGGTCAATCAGATGCCAGCAAAATGGCAGACACACTGCAATCTCACCCCTAATTGGGCCCTTAACAATGAAAATTGTATGTCCACTACCACGTGGCCACCACAAATTTAGTTCTTTATTTGCCAATTTATGTACCATTGGAAAAATTATTGAGGTAGAAATTCAACAATGTTTCGCTCATTTATAGGTTCAAAATGAGTACAACCATGACAAGTTTAGAAGGGGGAAGAACCACATTCCATTTTGCATGCCTCTGCTAAATTAATGTGGGCACTTTGTGAAGCAGCCATGAGTGTAGATTCCTTATTTCAATATTTATATGCCTGCCATTGAGCACATAGTATATGACACATAGATGATATTTTTATTTCTGGCTTAGTGTGCATTTACCCAACACAACAAGTCTTCAGTGGTCACCTGTAACACATGCAGGGCAGCGTTGGCCTAATGTAATACACATATATAGCAAAAACAGAATTTGCTTTTCACTAAAAAAAATCTGACAGTTAACAATAGTAATGGAAGTGAGAGGGCAAGGAAACAAAAAGGCTATTACAAAGCACAGAATTTAAACTTGAAATATATCATAATGGAAGAGCCATGAATTTACCTCTTCCCACTCTCACTTTTCTGGATCTGATCCAGATTACAGGTGCCAGGTTCATGCAAGCCTCTTATATATGTGGGATGGTAAACAAAAGGTGGAAATCTGACTGATCTTTCACATTTAACAGAACACTCCAATATGTCACTTGTAGTATCATGAATTTTAAACTCCACCATTTAGCACACACATTGGGTGTTTTGGTTTGTTTGACTCAATAGCACTTCTCATGAAGCACTTAGAATGAGGCGTGTCTAAAAAGTCAACTCAAAACCTCAAAGAAGTACATATTACTTAATGCTCTTCACAATTTGGTATATTTCAAGCTGGAAATCTGTGAGGTTATTGCATCTTTAGAGATCACAGCCAAGCTACATTTCGCAGTCTCAACTGATTTCCAACTTAGGTCCAAGCCAAATTTTCCAAATTGTCATATGTTCAAGTAAAAATTCCAGAAGGTCCAATGCTGTAGTCCCAGACTTTGAAACTCACTTTATAAGGTACAGGAGCAATTAACATATAATGTTCTTTATTTTGTACGGTACCTGCTTTCTTAGTAGTTTTAACATTCTTCACTAGCTTTAAAATTCTTACTAGTTTCTCTATACTATTTAGTATTTTTTCTCTGCATCCCTTATCAGTGTTTTGCATTAGCTGTATAGTGTATACTGCCATGCAACATGTACGTGGTGCTCTTTAAACAAATCTGAGGATGAGTTTATTAGCATGATAAAAAGCAAAGCTAAACACAGACCTCACAGACAGCAGCTCGGGTCGTTTCATCTTGAGCTTCTATTAGTTCTGCCAGGAAGTATTCACCATAAATGTATCTCAGTGTATCAGTCTGCTCATTGAAGATAGGTGTGACATCATCATGATCCTCTATCCTGGGTAGACAAGAATTCAAGGATTTCAGTTCAGAAGTGTTTCAATTACCATTATGTTTTCTTAAGCGTTTAAATACCATTGTACAGTTATAAACTAAATCAGAAATTAAGTATATATTGTGATTCTTTACAGTGTACAAGATGCCTATACCACTCCAAATTGGACAGGATAACAGGTGATCAAGAGGAAAGATGGGAGATGTGGGGGTTATTGCCATGTCTATGAAGACCTACATTTTCATCTCCAGCTCACTGAGACAGTTGTTCACTGGTGCTACTCTTCCTGCCACTTGTAAATTACAATGCAGATGATATTCTCTGCAGATTCCATTACACTTAGAGACTGACAAGATAAAGGTAGCAGCAATCCTCAAAATACTGCAGGGAACAGTGAAAGGTTGTTTAAAATTAATTTTTACTATCCTGAGAGGTAATATATTGGATGTATTTTTGGGAATGCCGCTAGGAAGTCTAGGTCTCATCATTTTTTGGGCTTTTCCACTCCTTTAAAATTGTTGTGTCCTCCTGTCTGTAATATTGCCAGAATGTTTCTCAGGGCTTTGTTGGGTCCTTATTTATTGATGTGGTTCCCATCATGAATACATCATAAATCTTGACTGAGGAAACTCTATGGGGTCAGGATAGGTGGAAATTCTACTTGAACATCCTTTGAACAATTAAGGAAATTCCAGATGTAAATATTTGCACTTAAATTATGAAATATAGCTTATTGAATATTGAATAAGCTGTTAAAGTTCAGTTACTTTGACTTATGTGGTTTTCTTTATAAATTGCATCACAGCATGGCTGAAGAGGTTTACACCAGTGGTTTTCTCTTATACAATGGTTCAGATATTCCAAACAGGGTTGGAAACCCCTTTTTTTTAATCTTATCATTTTCCTGGGTAACTATTCAGCTTAAGTGAGTTAGAACCCTCTGAATTCGGAGTCTACAGTCTACACAAAAGAAATGATTCTCTAGCCTTCAGATAATCTGGGCAAATAGATGAAATCTTAGAGTGTAAGTAAGATATTTTTGTTAAAAGTTACATTCAAGCATCTGCTCTTAAACAGTCTCCATATAGGATTGAAACAGATCATCTGAACTTTTTGGCAGATACAGAAAAGGTGCATGCAAAATTATGTTTGCACAGGAAAAGAGGCAAAAGAAAGGTTGATAGTAATTAATTGTATTCCATGCTACTACTAGAGTCGGTTGGAATTTTAGGCCCTGATGGGGCAGAGCACAGAGGTGGATCTGCTCGGAATTTTACACTGGCAACTGATATATCAGTTTAAGAAAACAAGGTGTAGAGCTGGATGAACACAGCAGGCCAAGCAGCATCATAGGAGCAGGAAGGCTGACGTTTCGGGCCTAGACCCTTCATCAGAAA